TCTCGCTATAAAGGTTATACTCTCCTTTACACTTCCTACTGCAGAAGCGTCAATAATGGTGTGTAGTAATCTAATATTGCTTCGCTAAATAGGAAAAATACCCGCATATAACATACATCATAGACTTATTAAAAGATTAATAATGTAAAACCGCAATAACGAATTTATGCGAGAAGAACGTTATATATAAACGAGGGGGAAACGTTACATATATAAACGAAAACTTAAATGTGCCCACAAAAATATATTTGACTCTACTAAAACTTTTCTAGAGATTTTAAGAAGTAAATTTAACGCGATAACCTACATATCGCGTGAATATATTACGAACAATTTTGCCCTGAATTTATATGACAATAATTCGACGAAAGGCACAATATAACTAACAAGAAGTAATTGTAAAATGGCACAAACTCGTCTCTATCGTTAAGCGCAATAAATTAAAACGGCAATAATCGTATTCTTATAACAACTAAAACTCTTATAAAAACCGATTAAAATCCCTAAACGACTTAAATTATGCGAGTATAGTTCAAAGGAGGATAGAAAACATCGATCAATTCCATATTTATGAGAAACAAGAGAATTCATAATTTCTGTAATGTCAGATACATCGTTTGTAGAACGAACAACCATTACTATCTCATTGATTTAAACGTGCGTTATCAGAGACAATTAAAATTATCCACGTTAGGTACTCGCTGTTTAACTGTATCCGAACTGCACTTTACGGCATTGGCAAAGCCATTTGATAATACGTGCGTTTCGCTCAACGATACTCGGCGGATCGTTTACCCTTTGGTTACATTCGTCGTTACCCATGCCGATGCTGCAGTTATTGTTCTGCCACTGACTGCTCTGATTTGTCTGATTATTACCCACCCACGAGTAAAGACCCAATGCCGAGTCTACGGAGCTGACGCTGTCAAAGAACACGGGCGACGATGACTTCGAATCAGGTTCCGTGATGCGTTGATAGTTATCTGAATCTAACCCTAGACGGTCGAAAAAGTTCTCGAGCTGAGTGACCGATCGTGGCGGTCGGGAGGATAGTTTGCTGGAACGTCCATTATCCTGACGCCAATATCGATCGCTGATGTCAGACTTTGATCTTAAAATCGGTCGACCGCGACCTTCCTTCCAACCATCTGAAAACCTAATATTGCAATCAAATTATATTATAATAATAAACATATTATCAATAATTATGATTATATTAAATTTTCATGTAGATTATTGTGTAAGTGAAAAGGAAAGAATGTCTAAATACCTCGAGTTACAGGTCGGACTGTAATCCGTTTGACTGTTGCTGCTCTCAGAATCGGGACTATAGTGTCTCACAACGGACGGTGGCGTACCACCAATATAGCTACCTTTCCTTGACCGATCCTTCTCTGTGGAATGTTGGGTGGACGCGCCACTATCTCTGCGTATATGACTCCAGCAATCCTGAAAAAACAGATAATTATGAAATTACATAGAACTATGTGTTTAAAACACAAATTTTTTACCAACTGTCTTATACCTGTATTCTAGGTGCTGGTTCGCTGCGATGCGTACAATGACCGGAAGAACCACCGGAGTCCCTCGCTGTCGCACCGTGACTCAATTTACTAGAACCCGATGACTTTTGTGTCCGTCCACCTGAGGATAATACACTACTCGCATCACCACCACCAGATCCTAAGGATCGCCTGATATGCCGGGAACTGAAATCGGTAGAAAGTTTCACGACGCTGATTATTTATTGCGTTTTCTCGCTGCTCGTTGTCACGCAAACGTTTCTTAAAAGTTCGCATTACACTGCACAATGTAAACGTGAAGATTTGTGCCAGTATTGAAAAAGCTAAGTCTCTCGCGCACCTTACCTGCGGTAACAAACGGCATCACGCTTAAAACTGTGATCCGAATAATCTGAACTAGTTTCGCAGTCCGGGCAATTGTTCGCAGCTTGATGATGACCAGACTGTTTCATAGGCAATTTGGTGGACGCGCGCGGCGAGAGTGATGCTCGGCGACGCGTGCTCGTGTGTAGATCGGGCAAGGATTTATGGCATATCGTGTTTTCCACCGACTGGGAGCTATTTGATTTTCTACCTGATCTCCCAGATGTATGCGAGTGCGAGTTGCTTCTACCGAACTTGAAGCGAACATCCTGCGGCGCACAATGCTGCATAATAAATAATGCAACGGTACAATCAATGCGGCCCATTTGTTAATGAGAGGAAGCGCATATAAATCTTCTTGATAATAAAAACAGATAAAAGAAAGGAAAATTATCACGTCGATAATAACTGCTACATATAATGCAACTTATTGACAATGTGTATGTATAATAATGCGAGAGAAAAAACATTAATTATGTGAATATCCAAAAATATGAAATCAGACTAACACTTGAATTGTTCTCAAGTGTCGTTTCAAATGTATAGCTTTTTTGACATTGTGCTGGGATCTTTCATATAACTTTATCTGCTTTAGAAAAAGTAAACTTGAAAGATAAGTGACAATGGTATTACAACGCGAGACAAAGGTCAATATCACGATTTCCTCACCAGCACACGATCTTCATCTCGGCAGCCGGGCGAGAGACTTCCGGGCGAGTATCGGAATTTCTCTTCGCGCGATACGCCGTTGGTCTGCGCCGTAGTTTGCGCAGAACTTTCCGGAAAGAATACATTCTCTTTACTGTCGGTATTCAATAACCGACGCAGTTTTGTTTGCAACTGATCACCCCCAGTACCGCTGGGGGGTCCTGATATCGTCCGTCTTTGAGGAACCGGAACCAAACGCGGACTTTTCGGTGGCAGCGCGGGTGGCAGTGTTTGTTGAGGGCTCAGAATCCCGTCTACTGCAAAACAATGACAACTTTACAATTATACGCTATTTCATTTCTACAGAGATAATATACAGGGTGTCCCGAAGTCCCATGATGATCCTTGGTGAGAACGTAGAACGGATTGAGGTGAGCAAGAAAGTCCTGTGCCGTTTTGCGATATTTGCAATAGTTTTTGAGAAATTAATTATTTTGTCTCAACAATTCAGCGTACAGAAAGCAGCAGCGGAAAGAAAGATG